CATGGGGACAAAGATCTTACTTTTTGGAGAAACATCCTCTGGTCTGATGAAACAAAAATAGAACTGTTTGGCCATAATGACCATCGTTATGTTTGGAGGAAAAAGGGGGGTGGGCTTGCAAGCCGAAGAACACCATCCCAACCGTGAAGCACGGGGGTGGCAGCATCATGCTGTGGGGGTGCTTTGCTGCAGGAGGGACTGGTGCACTTCACAAAATAGATGGCATCATGAGGAAGGAAAATTGATGTCTTGAGATGTTGCTTCAAAATTTCCACATAGTCAGGAAGTTAAAGCTTGGTTGCAAATGGGTCTTCCAAATGGACAATGACCCCAAGCATACTTCCAAAGTTGTGGCAAAATGGCTTAAGGACAACAAAGTCTAGGTATTGGAGTGGCCATCACAAAGCCCTGACCTCAATCCTATAGAAAAGTTGTGGGCAGAACTGAAAAAGCGTGTGCGAGCAAGGAGGCCTACAAACCTGACTCAGTTACACCAGCTCTGTCAGGAGGAATGGGCCAAGACTTACCCAATTTATTGTGGGAAGCTTGTGGAAGGCTACCCGAAACGTTTGACCCAAGTAAAACAATTTAAAGGCAATGCTACCAAATACTAATGGAGTGTATGTAAACTTCTGACCCACTGGGAATGTGATGAAATAAATAAAAGCTGAAATAAATAATTCTCTATTATTAATCTGACATTTCACATCCTTAAAATAAAGTGGTGATCCTAACTGACCTAAGACAGATGTCAGGTATTGTGAAAAACTGAGTTTAAATGTATTTGACTAAGGTGTATGTAAACTTCCGACTTCAACTGTATATAATCGTAATACATATTGTCTCAGCACCTAAGTATCGTGATAATATCGTATCATGAGGTCCCTGGCTGCCCTACAGAGTATGCCTCGAAATGTCTAGAATATTCTAACTCTCTCTCAGCAGGAAATATGATTAGTCTTGACTACTAACACGACACACCCTTCTGTCCAAAACCTCATCCTACACTACTACTGCAGAGTCGGGCACCAGACTTACTGCTCAACCAGATTCCAACACACACACAAACACAGTAGACTAACTAATGCTGGGGGATATAGGACGGGGTACAAATGGCATGGACTGTTTCCAAACAGGAAACCAGGTCTGTATAACAACAACATAAACAATCACCATAGCAACACCACCTCACTGCATTCCTTATGTGTACCAGCCAGGTAGTATAGACTAGATACTTTCAGTGTTGCAGTTCAAAAGGTGAGACTTAGGCTGCCCAATTATGGGCAAAAGATCTGATCTAATTGGTCAAAAGACCAAATAGTGGAAAAAATATCAGAATTGGGCTGATGTGTAAATTCAGCCTAAGAAATGTCCAACTGTGTAATAAAATCTAGGAATCTGTTTGGCCAGTGGCTAAAGAGAAGCCTTCTCAACAACCATGTTGTATTACTACGGACTGTGATTTGTCTCTCTGTGTGTTAACAGGCATCAGACTGCTGGCCCTGATGACAGTGTGTGCGTGTGGGTGTTTTGCTGAAGTGCAAAGCCACACAAAAACACACACCCATTTATCGGAGCGCCCTTATTTCAGCCTCGTCACTGACCCCAGAAGACTTTCCCGACTGTCCCCACTACTAAGAGTAGCCTAAAGCAAACACCATTAAGCAGAAGCTATGGCCGCCATGTGTGCTACAGATCCAAAGCATGACTGTTTAGTCTCTGCTTCACTTCTGTTATCAGTACTTTATTTAAAAACAGCAAACATTTGGTGAGCATATTGAAGATTGTGACTGTTCACTAGCAGGCATTTCTTTAGTTAAGTTAGTAGGTCAATGAGGAAACTTATTGAACCAAATATTTCCTCTCAGTACCCTTCAGCTCAACTAAAGTTCCCTGGGTGTCTCGGGAGTCTGAGCTGCCCAGGCAAACAACCTGAGAGAGAGATTACTGTGCTACATTCCATTGCTATCGCAGAAGGGTTCAAGCATTACACTACTATATGCCTGAGGCAGGGCTTAGACAGCAGAGTAAAGCACAATGCTTCATGTAGCTGGGGACGGAGAGGGCAGGCAGCTTCAAGCTCGATAAAGATAGAAACACCAATGGAATCCCAGACACCTCTACACCCCCCCCCCCCCCTCTCCCCCTCTCCATGACATTCACTATGCATTCAAATCAAATGGAACCCCAGACACCAAACACCTCTACATCAAATCAAATTTGTCACATGCGCCGAACACAACAGCTTACTTATAAGCCCTTAACCAACAATAACAGTTGCGAGGCTATATATAGGGGGTACCGGTACCGAGTCAATGTGCGGGGGCACCGGTTAGTCGAGGTAATATGTACATGTAGGTAGAGTTATTAAGGGGGGGGGGGGGCAATGAAAATAGTCTGGGTAGCCATTTTATTAGATGTTCAGGAGTCTTATGGCTTGGGGGTAGAAGCTGTTTAGAAGCCTCTTGTACCTAGACTTGGCGTTCCGGTACCACTTGCTGTGCGGTAGCAGAGAGAATAGTCTATGACTAGGGTGGCTGGAGTCTTTGACAATTTTTAGGGCCTTCCTCTGACACCGCCTGGTATAGTCCTGGATGGCAGGAAGCTTGGCCCCAGTGATGTACTGGGCCGTACGCACTACCCTCTGTAGTGCCTTGCGGTCGGAGGCCGAGCAGGTGCCATACCAGGCAGTGATGCAACCAGTCAGGATGCTCTCGATGGTGCAGCTGTAGAACCTTTTGAGGATCTGAGGACCAATGCCAAATATTTTCAGTCTCCTTAGGGGGAATAGGTTTTGTCGTGCACTCTTCACGATTGTTAGTTTGTTAGTGATGTGGACACCAAGGAACTTGAAGCTCTCAACCTGCTCCACTACAGCCCTGTCGATGAGAATGGGGGCGTGCTCGGTCCTCTTCTTTTTCCTGTAGTCCACAATCATCTCCTTTGTCTTGATCACGTTGAGGGATAGGTTGTTGTCCTGGTAAAATGGATTTAAGTTTCCCTGCATTAAAGTCTCCGGCCACTAGGAGAGCCGCCTCTGGATGAGCGTTTTCCTGTTTGCTTATGGCCGTGTACACTTCTTCTTTAAGAGGCTCCTCTGTCCTCCACTCGTTACCTGTATTAATGGCACCTGTTTTAACTTGTTATCAGTATAAAAGACACCTGTCCACAACCTCAAACAGTCACACTCCAAACTCCACTATGGCCAAGACCAAATAGCTGTCAAAGGACACCAGAAACAAAATGGTAGACCTGCACCAGGCTGGGAAGACTGAATCTGCAATAGGTAAGCAGCTTGGTTTGAAGAAATCAACCGTGTGAGCAATTATTAGGAAATGGAAGACATACAAGACCACTGATAATCTCCCTCGATCTGGGGCTCCACGCAAGATCTCACCCCGTGGGGTCAAAATGATCACAAGAACGGTGAGCAAAAATCCCAGAACCACACGGGGGGACCTAGTGAATGACCTGCAGAGAGCTGGGACCAAAGTAACAAAGCCTACCATCAATAACACACTACGCCGCCAGGGACTCAAATCCTGCAGTGCCAGACATGTCCCCCTGCTTAAGCCAGTACATGTCCAGGCCCGTCTGAAGTTTGCTAGAGTGCATTTGGATGATCCAGAAGAGGATTGGGAGAATGTCATATGGTCAGATGAAACCAAAATAGAACTTTTTGGTAAAAACTCAACTCGTCGTGTTTGGAGGACAAAGAATGCTGAGTTGCATCCAAAGAACACCATACCTACTGTGAAGCATGGGGGTGGAAACATCATGCTTTGGGGCAAAGGGACCAGGACGACTGATCCGTGTAAAGGAAAGAATGAATGGGGTCATGTATCGTGAGATTTTGAGTGAAAACCTCCTTCCATCAGCAAGGGCATTGAAGATGAAAAGTGGCTGGGTCTTTCAGCATGACAATGATCCCAAACACACCGCCCGGGCAACGAAGGAGTGGCTTCGTAAGAAGCATTTCAAGGTCCTGGAGTGGCCTAGCCAGTCTCCAGATCTCAACCCCATAGAAAATCTTTGGAGGGAGTTGAAAGTCCGTGTTGCCCAGCGACAGCCCCAAAACATCACTGCTCTAGAGGAGATCTGCATGGAGGAATGGGCCAAAATAACAGCAACAGTGTGTGAAAACCTTGTGAAGACTTACAGAAAACGTTTGACCTGTGTCATTGCCAACAAAGGGTATATAACAAAGTATTGAGAAACTTGTTTTTTGACCAAATACTTATTTTCCACCATAATTTGCAAATAAATTCATTAAAAAATCCTACAATGTGATTTTCTGGATTTTTTTCTCTCTCATTTTGTCTGTCATAGTTGACGTGTACCTATGATGAAAATGACAGGCCTCTCTCATCTTTTTAAGTGGGAGAACTTGCACAACTGGTGGCTGACTAAATACTTTTCCCCCCCCCCCACTGTAGATGAAAACTCTCTTGGTAGATAGTGGGTCTACAGCAAAACCTTGAGACTTCCTTCGATATCGTGCACCCCTGGTCTTACCTGCCGTTCGATCCTGCCGATACACTAGAACCCGCCAGCTCTATGTTATTCATGTCATCGGTTCAGCCACGACTCGGTGAAACATAAGATATTACAGTTTTTAATGTCCCGTTGGTAGGAAATACGTGCTTCTAGTTCGTCCATTTTATTATCAAGCGATTGTACGTTGGCCAATAGTATCGACGGCAGAGGCAGATTAGCCACTCGTCGCCGGCTCCTTACCAGGTATTACCCACTTCTCCAGGACATTCACAATGGATTCAAAATCAAATGGAACATCAGGGCTGCATGTGTTCAGTAGGACCCAACATTGTGGAACGTTCAGACATAAATATATTATCTAGAACAGATGTGCCTCTCTGACAATGACTAGGGGAGTCATCTGACATGTCAGCTCTATTCGTGTTCAGTTTGTTGAGGGAGGGGTGAGTTGAAAGGAGCGGGTGGGGGGGTTATGAGTCACTACACAGCTATCCTCTGCTGGATTAGGGCCCGCAATGGGTGAAAACGCCAGCCTGCCAAATCAGCACTGCTGGGTTAGTGTCCACATGTGCCAGGGCAGGCAGGGGCCAGGGAGGGGCCAGGACAGGAAGGGGCCCCAAAAATGAGCAGAGCTGCTGCAGGTGCAGCCTGGGCTGTGGGGAGGGCAGGGGATTGGCCACATTCCTCATAAAGAGAGGCGTTTAATATATCTGGATTGTGGACAGCCTTGGAAAGGCAGGATTCATAAAACTATGAAGTGTGCTGCTCTGCTCTCAGAAGTTGTCCTCTCTGGGTGGAGTGGAGAGAAAGTTGAAGAATAATCTTGGCTCAAAAAACAGTATCGTCAACAAGCTCAGCTCTTCTTAGTCCAGGGTTTTTTCTGCATAGAAAAGTATTGGGCGGGCAACATACATTTTTTTTTTTTTTTAAGATTCCAAAAATGTCATGGTTTGAGGCCCTGATTGATTTTGTTGTAATGTTTGAGTCACTCAGATAGAATACGAATATGGCATTCAAAATATGTAGAATTGCAGGAAACTAGGTTTAAAGATTTCTCTCCGCACCATGGCAAAATGTGTAGAACCGCTTTAAAACAGTAAAACGTTGTCTCTGCGGCCGAGAGGGGCACTAAAATATTAGATCGGAGACCGCGCCGTTGGTCACACCCTCGCCATGCCCACCACCTAAGCCCCATTTTGGATCCAGAAAAAAACCCTGTGAAAACAACGTGAGGGAGAATTCTCTAGTTGGCTTTGAGACTTTCAGAGACATTTTAAAAGGGCAATATTATATTCCGATCTGCAAGTATGATGAGGGCCGTGAGGTGATTAGTGCGGGGAATTAATTCATTGCAAAGTGCAATCTTTTGGTTAGGCCTACAAAAACATACAGTACCCGATTAGTCAAGTTGACTCAAGTCACTGAAGGCATAAGAAAATCACAAATGATTAGTAGGGATGTAACGATTCACGGATATGCATCGGCCTCCAATTCAAATGTTTATGATACAAGTGCATCGGTCCGCAGACCCCAAACCGATCCAAATGTAGCATGCATTGGTCTGAAAATTGATTAAAACGTCATAAAATCGGCGTTCACAAAAATATTTTGCTCATATTACATTATTTCTACCCTCCAAAAATACCTCTCATCGTTTGTGACAACTGATGCGTCCTCTCCTTAATTAAGTGACAACCTGTGTAATTTGCTTGGTTATTGTCATCTATCCGCTGTTGAAAATGGTGTTTTACTGGAATAAAAGTAAGCTACCGGAGACACAACGCATCTGGCCTTTACATGCTGAATGGGGATTACAATAGATTTCATTTTGATTGTTCAGGTTCACCATCAGTCAGCAATAGTTTTGGTAGTAGTTTTGGTAGTTAAGTGTATTATGGTCATTTTTAGATATACAGTGTAAAGTTGATAATTTCATAACAAGGAATCACTTTTGCGAAGCGCACTGCATGGCCAAAGAGAGAAGAGAGAGGGGATCATAAAACGGTCAAAACCATTCCATTGTTATATTCACTGGCTATGTCAAAGATCATTTGTAATTGATAAGTGTTGATACATTACTAGCTCAAACACCTAATTTGCAAAAATGACAAGTGAATTAGTGGATGATGGCGATTTCAGAACCAAAGTGGGGGGGACAAAAAAAACAACATAGGCTACATTGCTCTCCCCTAATCTGATAGTGGTAGTAGGGGTAGACGCCTAGTCTCCATTATGGCTCTAATCTGATAGTGGTAGTAGGGGTAGACGCATAGTCTCCTTTATGGCTCTAATCTGATAGTGGTAGTAGGGGTAGACGCCTAGTCTCCATTATGGCTCTAATCTGATAGTGGTAGTAGGGGTAGACGCATAGTCTCCTTTATGGCTCTAATCTGATAGTGGTAGTAGGGGTAGACGCATAGTCTCCTTTATGGCTCTAATCTGATAGTGGTAGTAGGGGTAGACGTCTAGTCTCCATTTTGGCTCTAATCTGATAGTGGTAGTGGGGAGGTAGACGCCTAGTCTCCATTTTGGCTCTAATCTGATAGTAGTAGTGGGGAGGTAGACGCCTAGTCTCCATTTTGGCTCTAATCTGATAGTAGTAGTGGGGAGGTAGACGCCTAGTCTCCATTTTGGCTCTAATCTGATAGTGGGGAGGTAGACGCCTAGTCTCCATTATGGCTCTAATCTGATAGTGGTAGTAGGGAGGTAGACGCCTAGTCTCCATTATGGCTCTAATCTGATAGTGGTAGTGGGGAGGTAGACGCCTAGTCTCCATTATGGCTCTAATCTGATAGTGGGGAGGTAGACGCCTAGTCTCCATTATGGCTCTAATCTGATAGTGGTAGTAGGGGTAGACGCATAGTCTCCTTTATGGCTCTAATCTGATAGTGGTAGTAGGGGTAGACGTCTAGTCTCCATTTTGGCTCTAATCTGATAGTGGTAGTGGGGAGGTAGACGCCTAGTCTCCATTATGGCTCTAATCTGATAGTGGTAGTGGGGAGGTAGACGCCTAGTCTCCATTTTGGCTCTAATCTGATAGTAGTAGTGGGGAGGTAGACGCCTAGTCTCCATTATGGCTCTAATCTGATAGTGGTAGTGGGGAGGTAGACGCCTAGTCTCCATTTTGGCTCTAATCTGATAGTGGGGAGGTAGACGCCTAGTCTCCATTATGGCTCTAATCTGATAGTGGGGAGGTAGACGCCTAGTCTCCATTATGGCTCTATCTGATAGTGGTAGTAGGGAGGTAGACGCCTAGTCTCCATTATGGCTCTAATCTGATAGTGGTAGTGGGGAGGTAGACGCCTAGTCTCCATTATGGCTCTAATGTGATAGTGGTAGTGGGGAGGTAGACGTCTAGTCTCCATTATGGCTCTAATCTGATAGGGGGGAGGTAGACGCCTAGTCTCCATTATGGCTCTAATCTGATAGTGGTAGTGGGGAGGTAGACGCCTAGTCTCCATTATGGCTCTAATCTGATAGTGGTAGTAGGGGTAGACGCCTAGTCTCCATTATGGCTCTAATCTGATAGTGGGGAGGTAGACGTCTAGTCTCCATTATGGCTCTAATCTGATAGTGGTAGTGGGGAGGTAGACGTCTAGTCTCCATTATGGCTCTAATCTGATAGTGGTAGTAGGGAGGTAGACGCCTAGTCTCCATTATGGCTCTAATCTGATAGTGGGGAGGTAGACGCCTAGTCTCCATTATGGCTCTAATCTGATAGTGGTAGTAGGGAGGTAGACGCCTAGTCTCCATTATGGCTCTAATCTGATAGTGGTAGTAGGGAGGTAGATGCCTAGTCTCCATTATGGCTCTAATCTGATAGTGGGGAGGTAGACGCCTAGTCTCCATTTTGGCTCTAATCTGATAATGGGGAGGTAGACGCCTAGTCTCCATTATGGCTCTAATCTGATAGTGGTAGTGGGGAGGTAGACGTCTAGTCTCCATTATGGCTCAGATCAACTGCCTACATAGTATACACCATAGACATACATTACATTCACCCACCCAAACATATCCAGCTCAGAGACCCAGCTCATGAGCAGCAGATTTTTATTTAGAATGGGAAATGAAGTTTTATGCAAGCGATTCACATCGACTCGTTCTCCAATCAAAACACTTCAAACTAAAACATATCTTTCCTGCGTCGTATCAGAGCCTTGGGGTATTGTGATTCTACCTCAGAGGAATACTTACGTAAATTAGATATTTCATTTTCAATAAATGTGCAAACATTTCTAAAAACATGGTTTTCACTGTCATTATGGGGTATTGTGATTCTACCTCAGGGGAATACTTACGTAAATTAGATATTTCATTTTCAATAAATGTGCAAACATTTCTAAAAACGTGTTTTCACTGTCATTATGGGGTATTGTGATTCTAACTCAGGGGAATACTGAGTTTTCAATAAAATGTGCAAACATTTCTAAAAACATGTTTTCACTGTCATTATGGGTTGAGATTTTTTGGGAGAAAAAAAAGAAAAATAATAATTCACCCATTCAGGCTGTAACAACATGGAATATGGATACTATCTGAAGGTATCCAGAGATCCAGAGAGACATACAGGAGCAATTGCTCAAGGGCACATCAACAGACGTATCTTTTTCACCTAGTCGGCTCGGGGATTCGAACCAGTGACCTTTCGGTTACTGTCCCAACGCTCTTAGCCGCTATCAAGATAAGCATGAAATCGTCATGAAAGGGAAAGATGCACATCCCTAACGATTAGGCTAATTATGTAAGCGTTCACTCATTTAGACAAATTGTCACCTGTCATCATCACAGGAGACTATTGTAATGACCATCATTACAGGATACAGGTGTGCATAAACTAAAGCTATAGGACAGATTATTTTCCTGTTGGTGTCCGTCGTCTGTTCCTCCCACAGGCAGACAGGCAGGACGAGGTCCCGTCGCAAAGTCTGCATCCCAAATAGCACCCTATGCCCTTTATAGTGCACTGCTTTTAAAATCAGAGCCCCTGGTCAAAAGTAGTGCACTATGCAGGGAATAGGGTGCAATTTGGGATGCAACCCAAGTCTCATCAAAGCCAATTATGGAAATATTCCCCCAGAGAGAGAATAGGACTGGACTAGATCATGCAAATCTATCTGCCTGTTCGTTCTGCATGACCTCCACTGACCTGGCCTCACAGGGTGTGTCAACAAGCTACATGGAAACTGGGCCTGAATGCAGTCTCTCCAAAATTGGCATCCCTCTGTAGTTTTAAGCTGACTAAACTTTGTCCAATTTTCAAGTGCTACCTTCCAGAGCGAGTCGAGGCACCCAAAAGTTCAATATTAACCAACTAAGAAACAGGCCCATCTGATACATGTTCTATTTCAGGATATGTTCAAGGTTTGTTTGTTTTTTACGCAATCTTTTTCTTGATTTTTCTTTGCTGATCAACTATTGCCTCTATCTAAAGTCCACCGTCCAGTTCTAATCTAAAGTCCAGTTCAATCTAAAGTCCAGTTCTTGGCTGTTCAAACCCAAATCTCCCTGGCTTGTGTGTTCAGTATGTCTGGCATTAACTGATATTTCTCACACAGCACGCTATAAAGGCTAGTAAAAAAAAAAAAGGAACCACACACAAACAGGATTCTGCTTACCTCTATAGACTGTGATGGTATCTTCAGTTTGGAAAGGCTGGGCTTGGTGCTTTTCAAGTCTGGTAAGGGTTCAAGATAAGACTGTCCATGGAAGTCTTCTGGAGAGGGCTTGAGGTCCGGAGACTCGCTGGTCACCTGGTCCTGGCCGTCCATGGGCCGGACGTAGGCTGTGGGCTTCTGGGGCATGACCAGGTTGGGCTTGGAGGCAAGTGGTGGAGGGAAGGTCTGAGAGGGCAGGGTTGTCCCCTCGATGGCCGGAGGTGGGATGTCTCTCTGGGGGTCATCCAGGGGGGACACCACCATGGGGATGGGGTAGTCGGGGTGTAGGGGAGAGGCCGGGTGCCTCTCAGGGTGCAGGGGGGAGTCCTGGGGCTCAGAGTCGCTGGGGTCACTGGAATGTAGGGGGGATAGGGGCTCGGCTGGGGGGGACAGGGCGGAGAGGACCGGAGGAAGACTGGCACACTCCCTCAGGTCTGACCAGGGCTCAGTCTTTCTCTGGTGTGGGTCTGGGCTGGCCTGGCCCTGGCTGAGACCCAGGGAGGACTGGGTGTAGGAGGAGGAAGGACCCTGGAGCTTCTTCAGAGGCTGGCCAGAGTGGCCACCGCTCTGGCTTGCCCCGTACTGTGGAGGGTTCTGGAATGGAGGCTTCGCTCGGTCTCGGCTGTGAGATGGCCTCCCATACTTTGTGGTGACGTGAGATTGAGGATCCTTAGAGAAGCTGCTGTCCAAACACTGGTGAGTGTTGGGGTTGTTCACGTCTTCATAACTACCCAGCATCCGCTGGATACGGCTAGACAGTTCATCCCCTTTGATCGTCTGAAACAGAAAAGAAAAGTTACTCAGGTACTTCAGTGTTGTTGAGAAGATGGATCATAGCAGGGCTCTTATCAGCTCTGCAGTAGTTGTTAGCCTTGAAAATGAACAAGAACGATACAGTATGAGACTGAGAACAACAATAGCTACATGCTCTCTGTTGTTGCGGAAGTTGACCTGATACTGCTAATGTTTACTTTGTGTCGCTTAGTCTACCTTTAAACCCAAACACCGTAACATGCAGCGAGGATGAAACTGTAGTTCACAGACAGAATGAGCATGACAGTTTAGCTGATTTCTTTCAGATAAAACCATGGTTTAAGTAGCTAAATATACTGTTGCCCTTTGTCTCTGTACGTGGCTGACTTTTTGACAACCAACCAATATGACCTTTAAAAGCAGGAGAGTAGACAAGACAAAGTTCTCTGTGACAGTAGCTAGCTAACCCCACGGGCTGTGGGTTCCATGTATGGGCTTCACTGCGTCACTCCAAACATCCTCCTCGGAAAAAGGACAACGTTGGGCTGTGGTTCAGGAGATGGGTTGCGTCCCGATTCTCTAGCCTTCACCCACACACTCCCTGTCATGGATTTAAAAGTATAGGACTGGTGTAAGCATTGGCTTGAAGACTCCTGAACATTTTTGATTTGAGTTTCCACTATTGTTGAATGCACGGCAGGGAGTCTGAAAGTGCACACACTTCAGGAGAAAGGTGGAGAATACGGTTGCCAAAGACCCTACAGTAGTAGAGCCAGAGACGGAAGAGGGAGCGAGACAACTCACTGCCTCCTTTTTTTCCTGGTTCATATACAGCCAATTAACTAAGTAGATCAGACCCAGCTGCTATCGCGTTGGTGCCTATGGGAGAGCCTCCCCTTAAGAAGACCGGAACTGTGGCAAAAAAAAATTTCTATGGTAAACGGCCTGAGTAAGACATCTTAAAATGTATCCACCATCTTTGGTAGAGCATCACCTCTTGAAGACAAAGAACCCACCTACGCTTTGCTTCACAATCAATTCACATGGCCCGGCCACTACAATGCCTGTCCCTAACAGACTCCTGCCTTGCTTTTCTCTGGTCAATATGAGACGCTATGCATTGTGAACTAGAAGGGTGAACTCACGACCAGCAGTACCTAAACCCTAAGCCCTGGGATGTTAGTGACAGCTAATTCACCTCCTACAACATTGTTCACCTTGAGAGGCTGGCCTTGTTCACAGGCCCAGCTGACGACTACACAACATAAGGATTTGCCAGAATGAGCCAAATGCATCACAACAGGCAGCCGACCAAGGAAACAGAGCCTCTCATTCATCCACTGCAAAAACAAAGCAATCAGCTTAGCCATGGTAAAGAGATATACTTTACAGCTGCCAGCCACCGAGGGAAAGTAGTGCTTCTTTAAGAAACAAATAAATGAGTTTACAGTAGAAAGGGAGGATAGACTGAAGAAAGAGAGAGTGATGGAGTGAGTGAGACAGTTAAGTAGAAAGGGTGGTAGGCTACTTGAGGACTAGTCTATACTCTGTCCATTATCTAACAACATGATATTATAGGTTAATATTTTCACAATTTCAAATTCTCTCATGGTTAATGAAGGATTGCTTACAAATGCCTGAAGCCTACTTCCTTGACCCCACAGACAACGCATCACTTCCCCTGTGCTCGCTCTCTCTCTCTCTCTACGGAAGCAGACAGACACGGAAATAAATAGTCTCGCCAAATGACGTTATTTTAAGCCGCACCCTCCTGTTTTCCAGGGAGCCTAATTAGCTAACTGTGTTCCTGTAAGATCAGGAGAGGGCAACTCACGCAGTGGCTCGTGGGTCTGCGCAACCACATCCATACCGACAAAGGCCCTAGCACCCCCCCACCTTGCAAGAAAAACATTTTAGCGCCCCCCCCCCCCTCCATTAAATAACAAGCGGCTGCTGGAGCTGACAGGCTCTGATGGGGCACAGGGACTAGCTGGCTGTTCACCCAGTTTAGGCTACTCCTCAGGGGTTCCCACTCTCTCCCGTGTCCTGACAGGGCAGGGCACGGGGCTCCAAGAGGCCTCATTAACTGAACAGCTCCTTGGTCTACAGAAGACATGGCAGGCTGGGGGTTTCATCAGGCTCCGGAGAACATGGCAGGGCTGGGGGTTTCATCGGGCTCCGGAGAACATGGCTGGCTGGGGGTCCCATCAGGCTCCAATCACAGGCTGGGGTTTCCATGCTCACTAGAGGACATGGTGGTCCTCACCCAATCACAGGCTGGGATTTCCATGCTCACTAGAGGACATGGTGGTCCTCACCCAATCACAGGCTGGGATTTCCATGCTCACTAGAGGACATGGTGGTCCTCACCCAATCACAGGCTGGGGTTTCCATGCTCACAAGAGGACTTGTGGTCCTCACCCAATCACAGGCTGGGATTTCCATCCACATGGCCTATCCTCAGTGATGTCATCAACAACTGAACTGTGAGGCAAACCTATCAATCGCATAGCTACTCTGTAGTCTGTACAGCAGTGGTTCTAAAAACGTCCATGTGTTTGATCTATTCCAGAGCTGGCACAACTGAATCAACTAGTCAACTAATCATCAAGCCCTTGACTACGTGAATCATGTGAGCTAGTTCAGGGCTACAACAGCATTGTAAACCGTCTGGGGGTTCCCGAGGAGAGGTTCGAGAACAACTGCATCTCATTGCAAAGTCATGGGCATTTAAATGGAGTTGGTCCCCCTTTGCTGCTGTAACGGCCTCCACTCTTCTGGGAAGGCTTTCCACTAGATGTTGGAACGTTGCTGCGGGGACTTGCTTCCATTCAGCCACAAGAGCATTAGTGAGGTCGGGAACTGATGTTGGGCGATTAGGCCTGGCTCATAGTTGGCGTTCCAATTCATCCCAAAGGTGTTCGATGGGGTTGAGGTCAGGGCTCTGTGCAGGCCAGTCAAGTTCATCCACACCGATCGACAAACCATTTCTGTATAGATCTCGCTTTGTGCACAGGGGCATTGTCATGCTGAAACAGGAAAGGGCCTTCCCCAAACTGTTGCCACAAAGTTGGAAGCACAGAATCATCTAGAATGTCATTTTATGCTGTAGCGTTAATAATAATAATAATAATAATAATAATAATAATAATAATAATAATAATAATAAGCCATTTAGCAGACGCTTTTATCGAAAGCGACTTACAGTCATGCGTGCATAAATTTTTTTTGTGTATGGGTGGTCCCGGGGATCGAACCCAATACCTTGGCGTTACAAGCGCCGTGCTCTACCAGCTGAGCTACAGAGGACCACAAGTTAAGATTTCCCTTCACTGGAACTAAGGGCCATAGCCTGAACCATGAAAAACAGACCCTAACCACTATTCCTTCTCCACCAAACTTTACAGTTGGCACTCTGCATTGGGGCAGGTAGTGTTCTCCTGGCATCCGCCAAACCCAGATTCGTCCGTCGGACAGCCAGATGGTGAAGCGTGATTCATCACTTCAGAGAACACGTTTCCACTGCTCCAGAGTCCAACGGCGGCAAGCTTTACTCCACTCCAGCCAACGCTTGGCATTGCGCATGGTGATCTTAGTCTTGTGTGCGGCTACTTGGCCATGGAAACCATTTCATGAAGCTCCCGATGAACAGTTCTTGTGCTGACGTTGCTTCCAGAGGCAGTTTGGTACTCAGTAGTGAGTGTTGCAACCGAGGACGGTCCCGTTCTGTGAGCTTGTGTGTCCTACCACTTCGCGGCTGAGCAGTTGTTGCTCCTAGATGTTTCCACTTCACAATAACAGCACTTACAGTTGACCGGGGCAGCTCTAGCAGGGCAGAAACTTGATGAACTGACTTGTTGGAAAGGTGGCATCCTATGACGGTGCCACGTTGAAAGTCACTGAGCTCTTCAGTACGGGCCATTCTACTGCCAATGTTTTGTCTATGGAGATTGCATGGCTCTGTGCTCGATTTTATACATCTGTCAGCCGAATAGACAAATCCACTAATTTGAAGGGGTATTCACATACTTTTGTATATACAGTGCATTCGGAAAGTTCAGACCCCTTGACTTCTTCCACATTTTGTTACGTTACAGCCTTATTCTAAAATTGATGTTGAATTTTTTTTTTTAATCAATCTAAACAATACCCCATAATGACAAATTGCAAATGTATTAAAAACAAAAAAACTGAAAAATTACATTTACATAAGTATGTTGAAGCACCTTTGGGCAGCGATTACAGCCTCGAATCTTCTTGTGTATGACGCTACAAGCTTGGCACACCTGTATTTGGGAAGTTTCTCCCATTCTTCTCTGCAGAACCTCTCAAGCTCTGTCAGGTTGGATGGGGAGCATCGCTGCACAGCCATTTAAGGTCTCTCCAGAGATGTTTGATCGGGTTCAAGTCCAGGCTCTGGCTGGGCCAATCAAGGACATTCATAGACTTGTCCCGAAGCCATTCCTGCGTTGTCTTGGCTGTGCGCTTAGGATCTTTGTCCTGTTGGAAGGTGAACCTTCGCCCCAGTCTGAGATCCTGAACAGGTTTTCATCAAGGATCTTTGTACTTTGCTCCGTTCATCTTTCCCTCGATCCTGACTAGTCTCCCAGTCCCTGCCGCTGAAAAACATCCCCACAGCATGATGCCGCTACAACCATGCTTCACCGTAGGGATGGTGCCAGGTTTCCTCCAGACGTGACGCTTGGCATTAAGGTCAAAGACTTCAATCTTGGTTCAGACCAGATAATCTTGTTTCTCATGGTCTGAGAGTCCTTTAGGTGCCAATTGGCAAACTCCAAGTGGGCTGTCATGTGTATTTTACTGAGGAGTGGCTTCCGTCTGGCCACTCTACCATAAGGGCATGATTGGTGGAGTGCTGCAGAGATGGTTGTCCTTCCCCAGATCTGTGCCTCAACCAAATCCTTTCTCGGAGCTCTATGGTCAATTCCTTCGACCTCATGGCTTGGTTTTTGCTCTGACATGCACTGTCAACTGTGGGACCTTATATAGACAGGTGTGTGCATTTCCAAATCATGTCCAATCAATTTCAATTTCCAACAGGTGGAATCAATATCTGTTTTAAATTTTTAATACATTTGCAAACATTTCTAAAAACCTGTTTTTGCTTTGTCATTATGAGGTATGTTGTGTAGATTAATGAGGAAAAAAGGTGCTTCAACATACTTATGTAAATGTGATAGTTCTGTTTTTAATACATTTGCAATTTGTCATTATGGGGTATTGTTTAGATTGATTAAAAAAAAAAAATTCAGCATTCATTTTAGAATAAGGCTGTAACGTAACAAAATGTGGAAAAAGTAAAGGGGTCTGAATACTTTCCGAATGCATGTATAGTGTAAGTGCACACAGCCAGCCCTATTCACTTCAGATCTCACTAAGAATGACTCACAAGGCAAGGCACTACATCAGGGATGGTCAACTCCAGGCCTCGGGGACCAGAGTAGTGTCACACTTTGTCCCCATCCCTAGTCAACACAGCTGATGAAACTGAAGATCATAATGATTGGAGTCGGGTGTGTCAGCTGGGGCAAAGGTGTGATGCCAATCAGGCCCCAGAGGCCTGGAGTTGCCCATCCCTGCACTAGGCTGAGCCAGTTATATAAGAGGAGAACGGCGAAAAACGCCCTGGAGCCTGGAGCTAGCCTATACTACAGCTGCACCGTCGAGAGCATCCTGACTGGCTGCATCACCGCCTGGTACGGCAACTGCTCGGCATCCGACCGCAAGGCGCTACAGAGGGTAAGTGAGTACAGCCCAGTACATCACTGGGGCCGAGCTCCCTGCCATTCAGGGCCTGTATACCAAGTGGTGTCAGAGAAAGGCACTAAAAATTGTCAAAGACTCCAGCCACCCAAGTCAACGACTGTTCTCTCTGCTACCACACGGCAAGCAGTACAGATGCATCAAGTCTGGCACCAACAGGACCCTGAACAGCTTCTATCCCCAAGCCATAATACTGCTAAACAGTTAACCAAATAGCTACTTGGACTATCTGCATTGACCTTTTTTTCCCACTAACTCTTTATCATCTATGCCCTTCCTATACGTACATATCTACGTCAATTACCTCATACCCTTGCACAGACTCGGTACTGGTACCCAGTTACTCATTGTGTTTTCTCTCTGCATTGTGGGTAAGGTCCCGCAAGTCAGCATTTCACTATTAGTCTACACCGGTTGTTTACCAAGCATATGACAAATACAATTTGATTTGACTTCAGTGTTAACTAGACCTAGGCCACAGAGGGGTCACAGTATGAACGCAGGTCATCACCTCCGGAGCAACTCTTAAATACATCAACAAGACGTTCTGAAGAGTTTCACAACAGCTCCTCTCTTAAGAGCAGAGAGCAACACACTGACACGTGGGCTGTGTTACAAAACAAAGATAACGGTTACATTATCAACACGCAAAAGCATTGGTCATGAACTCATCAAGCAAAACACTCTTCCTCTGGCCTCCAATTCTCTTATTTCAAATAGAATGGAATAATTAATAGCATAACATAAAATAAGCTGTATTTTGGGAATTCGTCACACTACTAACAATGTTTGTAGTTGTTATTAGGACTGCAGGAGGACATACTAAGGAAGAACAGGAAGTAGTCTGACCTTGTAGGGTTCCCCGAACAGGGGGACAGTCTCCTGATAGAACTCCTTCTCCTGGCGGGCTCCCTGGTTCCTCCGCTCCCACTCTCGGATGCGAAGGAGGTTCCTCTCTTCATTGTAGCTGTGGGGAAATCAGACAGACAGACAGACAGGTTTAGAGAGTGTTCACTTAGACCGGTATACAGACTTGAGAAATGTGCGCTTAACTCAGACTTCAGGGTAAATTTAATTATGCACGGATGTTAGCCTGGCTTCCATGAATACACGCCGCTGACGCCTAACTGGCAGAAAGCGATCATGATTACAGTGGCTTGCGAAAGTATTCACCCCCCTTGACATTTTTCCTATTTTGTTGCCTTACAACCTGGAATTAAAATGGATTTTTTTTTTTTGGGGGGGGGGGGGGGGTTGTATCATTTGATTTACACTTTAAAAGATGCAAAAGAGAAGAAAAAAGTGAAATAAGACAAAAAGTTTTGGTGGGCGGCCCTCTCTTGGTAGGTTTGTTGTGGTGCCTTATTCTTTCAATGTTTTAATAATGGATTTTAAAATGGTGCTTTGTGGGATGTTCAAAGTTTCTGATATTTTCTTTAACCCAACCCTGATCTGTACTTCTCCACAACTTTGTCCCTGACCTGTTTGGAGAGCTCCTTGGTCTTCATGGTGCCGCTTGCTTGGTGGTGCCCCTTGCTTAGTGGTGTTGCAGACTCTGGGGCCTTTCAGAACAGGTGTATATATATATATATATATATACAGAGATCATGTGACACTTAAATAAAGTCCACCTGTGTGCAATCTAACTAATTATGTGAATTCTGAAGGTAATTGGTTGCACCAGATCTTATTTAGGGGCTTCATAGCAAAAGGGGTGAATACATATGCACGCACCACTTTTCCGTTATTTATTATTTTGAATTCATATAAACAAGTTATTTTTTTCCATTTCACTTCACCAATTTGGACTATTTTGTGTATGTCCATTACATGAAATCCAAATAAAAATCAATTTAAATTACAGGTTGTAATGTAACAAAATAGGAAAAACACCAACGGGGGATGAATACTTTTGCAAGGCATTATTTGCATCAATCCAGTGGCCATTTGTTTTGCAACTCTGCAATCCCATGAGCGCTACAGAAACATCGCTAATCAAACAACGGTCTCTTGAATTAAAAGGGTAACTACATCCAAAACTGTTATTTCTTAGATTTTTCCCAGACCTCAAAAGTGGTCGCCTGGTGTGGTTTAAGCATGGTTGTGGACTTAGAAAAACAACAAAAGTGGATGTTCTATTTAATAAAGTGTGATTTTGCGAGCGAAAACTTGGAAAAACTGGGGGAAATGGAAACCTGAAAAAAACAAAAAAACAGAATCAGGCCCAAAAAAAAAAAAAATATGCTTTTATAGTGCCCTAGAGTCATCCATCACCAACCAGGTGCCTCTAGAGAGTTCCTCAATGAGCTTGACACCTTGATAAGCTAATTTCCTGACGATGTCTCTGCGCTTCTTACTGGGGGACTTCCAACATCAGCCTTCGATTAATTTCTCTCACACTCTTTCTTTCCCCTCCCACCCATAAAGGCAGGCAATAAATACGCTTGACCTCATCTTTACAAGAGACTGCTCCCCTGCTAATCTCACTGCAACCTCCCTCCAGGTCTCCGATCACTACTTTGTTTCCTTTTCTCTCACTCTGCTCCAACCTACCCACTCAGTCCAGATGGTCTCCTCTATCCTATCATCTCTCCCTTCTGCTAAATCCTTCTCCCTTCCCGTCTCCTGATTCTGCCTCTTCGACCCTACTCTCCTCATCCTATGACTCGCACTGTCCCCTTTTCCCCAGGCCTGCTCGGGCCTCCCCTCCTGCTCCGTGGCGGAGTGACTCATCGCGAGCTCACAGAACAGGGCTGCGGGCAGCTGAGCGAAAATTGAGGAAAACTAAAAACTTCCAGAGGACACATCATCCATTCACTCCCTCTTCTCTACCCAGATCAAATCAAATTGTATTTGTCACATGCACGTGTTGAGCAGATGTTATTGCGGGTGTAGCGAAATGCTTGTGCTTCTAGCTCCGACAGTGCAGTAATATCTAACAAGTAATATCTAACAATTTCACAACATATACCTAATACACACAAAACTAGTAAGGAATGGAATTTACGAAAATATACATATGGACAAGCAATGACAGAGCGGCATGGACTAAGATAATAATAATAATAAGCCATTTAGCAGACGCTTTTATCCAAAGCGACTTACAGTCATGCGTGCATACATTTTTGTGTATGGGTGGTCCCGGGGATCGAACCAACTACCTTGGCGTTACAAGCGCCGTGCTCTACCAGCTGAGCTACAGAGGACCACAATACAGTACAGTAGAATATTATAGAATGCGGTATATACATATGAGATGAGTAGTGCAAGATATGTAAACATTATTAAAGTCACTAGTGTTCCATTTCTTAAAGTGGCCAGTGATATCAATAGGCAGCAGCAGCCTCTAATGTGCCAGTGATGGTAATTTAATAGTCTGATGGCCTTGAGATAGAAGCTGTTTTTCATTCTCTCGGTCCCAGCTTTGATGCCCCTGTACTGACCTCGCCTTCTGGATGATAGCAAGGTGAACAGGCAGTGGCTCGGGTGGTTGATGTCCTTGATTATCTTTTTGGCCTTCCTGTGACATTGGGTGCTGTACAGTGGGGAGAACAAGTATTTGATACACTGCCGATTTTGCAGGTTTTCCTACTTACAAAGCATGTAGAGGTCTGTAATTTTTATCATAGGTACACTTCAACTGTGAGAGACGGAATCTAAAACAAAAATCCAGAAAATCACATTGTATGATTTTTAAGTAATTAATTTGCATTTTATTGCATGACATAAGTATTTGATCACCTACTAACCAGTAAGAATTCCAGCTCTCACAGACCTGTTAGTTTTTCTTTAAGAAGCCCTCCTGTTCTCCACTCATTGCCTGTATTAACTGCACCTGTTTGAACTCGTTACCTGTATAAAAGACACCTGTCCACACACTCAAACAGACTCCAACCTCTCCACAATGGCCAAGACCAGAGAGCTGTGTAAGGACATCAGGGATAAAATTGTAGACCTGCACAAGGCTGGGATGGGCTACAGGACAATAGGCAAGCAGCTTGGTGAGAAGGCAACAACTGTTGGCGCAATTATTAGAAAATGGAAGAAGTTCAAGATGACGGTCAATCACTCTTGGTCTGGGGCTCCATGCAAGATCTCACCTCGTGGGGCATCAATGATCATGAGGAAGGTGAGGGATCAGCCCAGAACTACATGGCAGGACCTGGTTAATGACCTGAAGAGAGCTGGGACCACAGTCTCAAAGAAAACCATTAGTAACACACTACGCCGTCATGGATTAAAATCCTGCAGCGCACGCAAGGTCCCCCTGCTCAAGCCAGCGCATGTCCAGGCCCGTCTGAAGTTTGCCAATGACCATCTGGATGATCCAGAGGAGGAATGGGAGAAGGTCATATGGTCTAATGAGACAAAAATAGAGCTTTTTGGTCTAAACTCCACTCGCCGTGTTTGGAGGAAGAAGAAGGATGAGTACAACCCCAAGAACACCATCCCAACCGTGAAGCATGGAGGTGGAAACATCATTCTTTGGGGATGCTTTTCTGCAAAGGGGACAGGACGACTGTACCGTATTGAGGGGAGGATGGATGGGGCCATGTATCGCGAGATCTTGGCCAACAACCTCCTTCCCTCAGTAAGAGCATTGAAGATGGGTTGTGGCTGGGTCGCCAGCATGACAACGACACGAAACACACAGCCAGGGCAACTAAGGAGTGGCTCCGTAAGAAGCATCTCAAGGTCCTGGAGTGGCCTAGCCAGTCTCCAGACCTGAACCCAATAGAAAATCTTTGGGAGGGAGCTGAAAGTCCGTATTACCCAGCGACAGCCCCGAAACCTAAAGGATCTGGAGAAGGTCTGTATGGAGGAGTGGGCCAAAATCCCTGCTGCAGTGTGTGCAAACCTGGTCAAGACCTACAGGAAACGTATGATCTCTGTAATTGCAAACAAAGGTTTCTGTACCAAATATTAAGTTCTGCTTTTCTGATGTATCAAATACTTATGTCATGCAATAAAATGCAAATTAATTACTTAAAAATCATAATGTGATTTTCTGGATTTTTGTTTTAGATTCCGTCTCTCACAGTTGAAGTGTACCTATGATAAAAATTACAGACCTCTACATGCTTTGTAAGTAGGAAAACCTGCAAAATCGGCAGTGTATCAAATACTTGTTCTCCCCACTGTATGTGTCTTGGAGGGCAGGGTAGTTTGCCCGGATAATGCGTTCGGCAGACCGCACCACCCTCTGGAGAGCCCTGCGGTTGCGGGCAGTGCAGTTGTCGTACCAGGTGGTGATACAGTCCGACAGGATGCTCTCAATTGTGCATCTGTAAAAGTTTGTGAGGGTTTTAGGTGCCAAGCCGAATTTCTTCAGCCTCCTGAGGTTGAAGAGGCGCTGTTGGGCCTTCTTCACCACACTGTCTGCGTGGGTGGACCATTTCAGATTGTCAGTGATGTGTACGCCAAGGAACTTGAAGCTTTCCACCTTCTCTACTGCGGTCCCGTCGATGTGGATAGGGGGGTGCACCCTCTGCTGTTTCCTGAAGTCCACGATCATCTCCTTTGTTTTGTTGACGTTGAGTGAGAGGTTATTTTCTGGCACCACACTCCCAGAGCCCTCACCTCCTCCCTGTAGGCGGTCTCGTCATTGTTGGTAATCAAGCCTACTACTGTTGTGTCGTCTGCAAACTTGATGATTGAGTTGGAGGCGTGCTTGGCCACGCAGTCATGGGTGAACAGGGAGTACAGGAGGGGGCTGAGCACGCGCCCTTGTGGGGCCCCAGTGTTGAGGATCAGCGAAGTGGAGATGTTGTTTCCTACCTTCACCACCTGGGGGCGGCCCGTCAGGAAGTCCAGGACCCAGTTGTACAGGGCGGGGTTCAGACCCAGGGCCTCGAGCTTGATGATGAGCTTGGAGGGTACTATGGTGTTGAATGCTGAGCTATAGTCAATGAACAGCATTCTTGCATAGGTATTCCTCTTGTCCAGATGGGATAGGGCAGTGTGCAGTGTGATGGCGATTGCATCGTCTGTGGATCTATTGGGGCGGTAAGCAAATTGAAGAGGGTCTAGGGTGACAGGTAAGGTAGAGGTGATATGATCCTTGACTAGTCTCTCAAAGCACTTCATGATGACAGAGGTGAGTGCTACAGGGCGATAGTCATTTAGTTCAGTTACCTTCGCTCTCTTGGGTACAGGAACAATGGTGGCCATCTTGAAGCATGTGGGAACAGCAGACTGGGAAAGGGAGAGATTGAATATGTCCATAAACACACCAGCCAGCTGGTCTGCGCATGCTCTGAGGACGCGGCTAGGGATGCCATCTGGGCCGGCAGCCTTGCGGGGGTTAACGTGCTTAAATGTCTTAATCACGTCGGCCACGGAGGCTTAGTAGTGGGCCTCGTCAGTGGCACTGTGTTATCCTCAAAGCGGGTGAAGAATGTGTTTAGCTTGTCTGGAAGCGAGACGTTGGTGTCGGCAACGTGGCTGGTTTTCCTTTTGTAGTCCGTGATTGTCTGTAAACCCTGCCACATATGTCTTGTGTCTGAGCAGTTGAATTGCGACTCCACTGTCTCTATACTGATGTTTTGCCAGTTTAATTGCCTTGCGGAGTGAGTAGCTACACTGTTTGTATTCTGCCATATTCCCAGTCACCTTGCCATGGTTGAATGCGGTGGTTCGCGCTTTCAGATTGGCGCAAATGCTGCCATCTATCCACGGTTTCTGGTTAGGGTAGGTTTTAATTGTCACAGTGGGCACAACATCACCTATACACTTCCTAATAAACTCAGTCACCGTTTCAGTGTATTGGTCTAAATTATTTTCGCAAGCTACTCGGAACATATCCCAGTCCGCGTGATCAAAACAATCTTGAAGAGTGGATTCCGATTGGTCAGACCAGCGTTGAATAGTCCTTAGCACGGGTATTTCCTGTTTGAGTTTCTGCCTATAGGAAGGGAGGAGCAAAAATGGAGTCGTGGTCAGATTTGCCAAAAGGAGGGCGGGGGAGGGCCTTATAACCTTCCCGGAAGTTCGAATAGCAATGGTCGAGGATTTTGGCAGCGCGAGTACAACAGTCGATATGTTGATAGAACTTCGGCAGCCTAGTCCTCAAATTTGCTTTGTTCAAATCCCTGCCTACAATAAATGCAGCCTCAGGATATGTGGTTTCCAGTTTGCATAAAGTCCAGTGAAGTTCTTTGAGGTCCGTCATGGTATCGGCTTGAGGGGGGATATACACGGCCGTGACTGTAACCAAATAAAATTTGATTGTGAGATATTCTAGGTCGGGTGAACAAAAGGACTCAAGTTCCTGTACGTTACTACAATTACACCATGAGTCGTTAATCATGAAACACACACCTCCGCCCTTCTGCTTCCCGGAGAGATATTTATTCCTGTCTGCGCGATGAACTGAGAACCCCTCTGGCTGGCCCGATTTCGACAGAATATCCCAAGAGAGCCATGTTTCCGTGAAACAATGTATGTTACAGGCCTTGATGTCTCTCTGGAAAGAAATCCTTGCCCGGAGTTTGTCGATCTTGTTAACCAAAGACTGAACATTAGCGAGTAGTATACTTGGAAGCGGGCCGCTCCGAGTGCCTCTCCTCCGCGGGCGATGTTTTGGGTCAGCCGCTGGAATCAGTTCAGTTGCCCTGGGGAGAGCAAACAAAGGATCTGCTTCGGGAAAGTCTTATTCCTGGTCGTAATGGTGGCGAGTTACCGCCACTCTGATATCCAAACACTTTTGAGCTAATAATGTAAAAAATAATACATAAAAAAACTAAATACTGCAAAGTTTCCAAAGAGCTAGTCGCGAGGCCGCCATCTTCGTCGGCGCCAGGTCATGTTGATGGGCATGCCCCTTCGCAATCGTCGCCCTCTCTCTCCCACGACTCTATCCTTTCATCTCTCCCCTCTGCTAAATACTTCTCCCTTCCTGTCTCCTGATTCTGCCTCTTCGACCCTACTCTCCTCATCCTATGACTCGCACTGTCCCTTTTCCTCCCAGCCATGGCTTAGTGACTCATTACAAACGTACACAACAGGACTACGGGCCGCTGAACAAAAATGGAGGAAGACTCAACTTCGAGGACCTATCATCCTTTCCACCTTCTCTTCCTCTGTATCCGCTACTAAAGCCACTTTTTATCACTTCACATTTCAAGCTTCTGTCTCTAACCCTAGGAAACTATTTTCCACCTCCTCCTCCCTCAATCCTCCACCCCCTCCACGGAAGACTGTCAACCACTTTGAAAAGAAGGTTGACGACATCCGCTCCTCATTCACTCAGCCTATTGAGTCCACTTGTCCCACTCACACAGAACTACCCTACTACCTTTCTCCCCTCTCTGTCCAGATGAAATCCTATGACCAGTGAGGTCCGGCCACCCGACAACCTGCCCGCTGAACCCAAACCCTCCTCCCTGGAGACCTTCTCCCATTTCTTACTTCCCTCATCAACTCATCCCTGACTACTGGCTGCGTCCCCTCTGACTTCAAAATGGCCAGAGTCGCTCCCCTCCTCAAGAAACCAACACTCATCTCCTCTGACGTCAAAAACTACAGACCGGTATCCCTTCTTTCTTTTCTTTCCAAAACAGTTGAGCGTGCAGTCTCTGAACAGCTCTCTCGACATCTCTCTCAGAACGATCTTCTTGACCCTAACGGGTCAAGCTTCAAGACGGGTCAATCAACGGAGACTGCTCTTCTCTGTGTCACAGAGGCTCTGCGGACTGCCAAAGCTGACTCGCTCTCCCCTCATCCTCCTAGATCCATCCACTGCCTTCGACACCTTGAACCATCAGATCCTCTTCTCATGGATGGGCGTCTCAGGTTCTGCACACTCTTGGACTGCATCCTACCTGGCATGCCTCTCCTACGAGGTGACGTGGAGAGGATCCACGTACTCGCACTATTGGTGTCCCTCAGGGCTCGGTTCTAGGCCCTCTCCTCTTTATACACTAAGTTACTCGACTTCGTCATTTCCTCACATGATCTCTCCCATCATTGCTATGCGGATGGCACTCTACTTTCCTCCTCCCCCCACCCCCCCCTTCTGACACCCAGGTGGCAACACGCATCTCTGCGTGCCTGGCAGATATGTCAGCTTGGATGTCACACAGGAAGCGGCGCAGGTCGTAATCCAGGCACTGTCATCTCCCATCTGGACTACTGCAACCTGATGTTGGCTGGGCTCCCCGCTTGTGCCATCAACCCCTTGCAACTTATCCAGAACGCTGCAACCCGTCTAGTGTTCAACCTTCCCAAGTTCTCCCATGTCACCCCGTTCCTCCGCACACTCCACTGGCTTCCAGTCGAAGCTCTCATCCACTACAAGACCATGGTACTTGCCTATGGAGCAGCAAGAGGAACTGTCCCCTCCCTACCTTCAGGATATGATCAAACGTTACACCCCAACCCGAGTACTCCGTTCTGCCACCTCTGGTCTCTTGGCCCTCCCACCCCTACGGGAGCTCCCGCGCTCAGCCCAGGCAAAGCGCTTCTCTGTCCTGGCACCCCAATGGTAGAACCAGCTTCCCCCTGAAGCTAGGACAGCTGAGTCCCTGCCCATCTTCCAAAAACCTCTTCAAAGAGTATTCGCTCCAGCGTCTGCTAAATGACTAAAATTTTTTAAAAAATCTAATGATATGTTTATAAAAATGTGTATCCGTAGGCTGCCACTCAAAAAAATTAAAAATAAAATACATACAGCGTTTAAGTGATAATAAATTCTGTATAAACAGGAAAACGAAACAGAAGTTTCTCATTCCCCCAACCCCACCCAGCCAACATGTCTCCATCCAAAGTCTTCTAATAGTAACTGTATCCAATGGCGAAATGGGAGAGAGTGAGGTGATCTAAGAGCCAACATCTTTTTTTGCAGCAGTGCTGCCTGCCAGCAGTAATAGTATCTGATTGATTGAAAGATTCAAGGAGCTATCATCGTTAAGTAACATAATAGATGCAAAGCATTGAATATTTATATTCATGCACTTTGCAATGAATGTTGTAACTTTGCCGCAGAAGCATTTAACTCCCACATCTTATGGAGGAATGTGCCTACCTGATTTAGAGGACAGTGAACAGTTGGGGTCCAATTTTATCATACAACGTTTCCTTGGTATTAAATACAGTCTGCACAAACTTAAAATGTATAAATTCGGATTACGGGATGCCAAGGTCATATTGTTCCATATTCTGTTTCAGTTAAAAGGGTTGTTCCGATTTAAATTAGATCTGTGGACCATACTTTTTTAATGGCTAGTTCAGAATAAGAGCTTTCCAAAAGTAGTTTATAGATTTTAGAGATCAGTCCTTTCGAGAGCCCAGATTTGTTTTGAAATCTCATCATTGGATGGTTCGGTAGTTGGGTTTCCCAAAGGGACTCCATAGGCCAGCATAGCTCACCTAAGTTGTAAATATAGAAATAAGGATTTGTCGGGTAATGTGCATGTACTGGATCCTGTACTTCCTGACAGGACGCCCCCAGGTGGTGAGGGTAGGTAACAACACATCCGCCACGCTGACGCGCAACAAGGGGCCCCTCAGTGGTGCGTGCTTAGTCCCCTCTGTACTGCCTGTTCACCCACGACTGCATGCCCGTGCACGACTCCAACACCATCATTAAGTTTGCTGTCGACACAACGGTGGTAGGCCTGATCACCGACAACCAATGTTCCCTCTAATTTATTTCCGCCACTGAGCAAATTTCAGGTCTGCTGAGCGCAAACTTGAATGTTGTGAAAATGATGTGCGACTTCCAGCGCGAGAACACTGAGGCTGTACACACTTTAAGTTACCGTTTAACGGTGGCCATGTAGGCTACTGCGGCTATTTGATCATAATGTAGGCCTACCAGAGTGGCCTACCATCAAAAACAATGGAGAAAATGCATCCCATAACATTTTAACATGGAAAAAGCTGTTCTATCATTCAGCCTAAAGTAGCAGCCAATGTGTGGTGTTCAATGTAGGCCATTCCATGAAAAACAAAAATAACATGCAGGGCTTGACATTAACCTTTGTATCCACGTCCTTCAGACAAGGTGACTGAAAATGTTGTGATGATTGATGCCAGAAACTTACTTTACAAAATAAAATGCATTATTATTCCCATACCATTATTACAGAGAATCAGACAAATTATGCTACCCTCTGCCTATTGGCTACTTAGCTTATTCAAGCCTGTCTCAAAATACAACACTGCCCATTTAAGACAAATTATAAAGCTCTTTACCTGATTCGCTTTTCAAAGATGTCTAGAAATGTACACGTTTTGTGCTCCTGTAGGAAGTAATCACTCCACTATTGCTAACTATAACTGAGCTAATAACTCACTAACTAGCAAAGGATATGAACAAAATGTGCACAAGTGGCTACATGCAGCTCTCGCTTCGATCTCAAAACAAGCTCATCTACTCACGACCGCTCATGTTGTAAACACGGTCCAGTTCAAAGTAAATAGCAGAGATCCATATATGGCAATGGTCTATTTGCATATAGGCCTACCGCAGCTCTGATTGTTTACGCCACACCGGTCTGTGTAGAGTACGGAGGGAGTAGAATGTCAATGCAATAGAATCCTACTCCGATGTGTTCTGCCTACAACAAAATCTCTTGCATAATTAATTTTGTTTCTGTATGTTGCATCGAAAGTGGATAATATTGCATTGATTCGATCACAATTGCCACAGTAAAAAGAGAAAGGTTGATCGTGTTAACAGGGAAAACTCTAGAACAGTGGTCTCCAACCTTTGAGTCAAGATCACGGAGTCAAAACGCAAGCCGAGATCTTCCACAATTATTTTAAAAATTACGAAAAAAAAAAAAAAAAAAACGTAAGCCTATGCAACATTAACCAATTAAAAACAATACTGTAGCAATGAGGTTTGTGCAGTAAGCTATAGGCTCAATACCTTCTTGACAATATAGTTTATATTTGAGAATCTTCAAATAGCCACCCTTTGCATTGATGACAGCTTTGCACACTCTTGGCATTCTCTCAACCAGCTTCACCTGGAATGCTTTTCCAACAGTCTTGAAGGAGTTCCCACAAATGCTGTGCACTTGTTGGCTGCTTTTCCTTCACTCTGCCGTCCGACTCATCCCAAACCATCTCAATTGGGTTGAGGTCGGGGGATTGTGGAGGCACTCCATCACTTTCCTTCTTGGTCAAATAGCCCTTACACAGCCTGGAGGTGTGTTGGGTCATTGTCTTGTTGAAAAACAAACGATAGTCCCTCTAAGCCCAAACCAGACAGGATGGCGTATCGCTACAGAATGCTGAGGTAGCCATGCTGGTTCAGTGTGCCTTGAATTCTAAATAAATCACAGACAGTGTCACCAGCAAAGCACCCTCACACCATAACACCTCCTCCATGCTTTACGGTGGGAACTAGACATGCGGAGATCATCCGTTCACCCACACCGCGTCTCAGAAAGACACAGCGGTTGGAACCAAACATCTCAAATTTGGACTCCAGACCAAAGGACATATTTCCAATGGTCTAATGTCCATTGCTCGTTGTTCTTGGCCCAAGCAGGTCTCTTCTTCTTATTGGTGTCCTTTAGTAGTGGTTTCTTTGCAGCAATTCGACCATGAAGGCCTGGTTCACACAGTCCCCTCTTAACAGTTGATGTTGAGATGTGTCTGTGACTTGAACTCTGCAAAGCATTTATTTGGAATGCAATTTCTGAGGCTGGTAACTCTAATGAACTTATCCTCTGCAGCAGAGGTAACTCTGGGTATTCCATTCCTGTGGCAGTCCTCATGACAGCCAATTTCATCATAGCGTTTGATGGTTTTTGCGACTGCACTTGAAGAAACTTTAAAAGTTATTGAAATGTTCCATATTGACTGACCTTCATGTCTAAAAAGTAATGATGGACTGTTGTTTTCTCTTTGCTTATTTGAGCCATCTTCTGTATACCCCCCTACCTTGTCACAACACAACTGATTGAATCAAACGCATTAAGGAGGAAATAAATTCCACAAAAAAACTTTTAACAAGGCAGGGGGGTATACTGTTAATTGAAATGCATTCCAGGTGACTACCTCATGAAGCTGGTTGAGATAATGCCAAGAGTGTGCAAAGCTGTCATCAAGGCAAAGGGTGGCTATTTGAAGAATCTCAAAAATAAAATATATTTTGATTTGTTTAACACTTTTGGTTAATACATGATTCCATGTGTTGTTTCATAGTTTTGATGTCTTCACTATTATTCTACAATGTAGAAAATAGTAAAAATAAAGAAAAACCCTTGAATGAGTAGGTGTATCCAAACTTTTGACTGGTAGTGTAAGTATTCAGACCCTTTACTCAGTATTTTGTTGAAGCACCTTTAGCAGCAATTACAGCCTCGAGTCTTCTTGGGTATGACGCTACAAGCTTGGAACACCTGTATTTGGGGAGTTTCTCCCATTCTTCTTTGCAGATCCTCTCAAGCTCTGTCATGTTGGATGGGGAGCATCGCTGCACAGCTATTTCCAGATCTCTCCAGAGATGTTCGATCAGGTTAAAGTCCCGGCTCTGGCTGGGCCACTCAAGGACATTCAGAAACTTGTCTCGAAGCCACTCCTGCGTTGTCTTGGCTGTGTGCTTAGGGTCATTGTCCTGTTGGAAGGTGAACCTTCACCCCAGTTTGAGGTCCTGAGAGCTCTGGGGCAGGTTTTCATCAAGGATCTCTCTGTACTTTGCTCCGTTCATCTTTCCCTCAATCCTGACTAATCTCCCAGTCCCTACCACTGAAAAACATCCCCACAGCATGATGCTGCCAACACCTTGCTTCACCGTAGGGATGGTGCCAGGTTTCTTCCAGACGTGACGCTTGGCATTCAGGCCAAAGAGTTCAATCTTGGTTTCATCAGACCAGAGAATCTTGTTTCTCATGGTCAGAGTCTTTAGGTGCCTTTTGGCAAACTCCAAGCGGGCTGTCATGTGCCTTTTTACTGAGGAGTGGCTTCCGTCTGGCCAATCTACTGTAAAGGCCTGATTTGGTGGAGTGCTGCAGAGATGGTTGTCCTTCTGGAAGGTTCTCCCATCTCCACAGAGGAACTCTGGAGCTCTGTCAGAGTGACCATCGGGTTCTTGGTCACCTCCCTGACCAAGGCCATTCTCCCCCGATTGCTCAGTTTGGCTGGGTGGCCAGCTCTAGGAAGAGTCTTGGTGGTTCCAAACTTCTTCCATTTACAAATGATGGAGGCCACTGTGTTCTTGGGGACCTTCAATGCTGCAGAAATGTTTTGGTACCCTTTCCCCAGATCTGTGCCTCGACACAATACTGTCTCTGAGCTCTACGGACAATTCCTCCGACCTCATGGCTTGATTTATGCTCTGTCAACTGTGGGACCTTATAATACAGGTGTGTGCCTTTCCATAAATGTTTTATTTGCAAAAAAATCTAAAAACCTGTTTTAGCTTTGTCATTATGGGGTATTGTGTGTAGATAGATGAGGAAAAACATTTATTTGATCCATTTTAGAATACAGCTGTAACATAACAAAATGTGGAAAAAGGGAAGGGGTCTGAATACTTTCCAAATGCACTGTGTACTGATGCTACCGTTTACCATCTGTCACTTTATTCCTAGTTATACCTGTATGTTTACTGAACAAAAAATATAAACACAACATGTAAAGTGTTGGTCCCATGTTTCATGAGCTGAAATAAAACATCCCAGAAATGTTCCATATGCACAAAAAGCTTATTTCTCTCAAATAATAATAATATAATAATATGCCATTTAGCAGACGCTTTTATCCAAAGCGACTTACAGTCGTGCGTGCATACATTTTTTTTTGTGTATGGGTGGTCCCGGGGATCGAACCCACTACCTTGGCGTTACAAGCGCCGTGCTCTACCAGCTGAGCTACAGAGGACCACAAATGCCACCCCCAAATGATGTGCACAGTTTGTGAGCATTTCTCCTTTGCCAAGATAATCCATCCACCTGACAGGTGTGGCATATGAAGAAGCTGATTAAACAGCATGATCATTACACAGGTGCGCCTTGTGCCGGGGACAATACAAGGCCAGTAAAACGTGCCGTTGTCTCACAACACAATGCCACATATGTCTCAAGTTAAGGTTCAGTATACATACATCTACCTCAATGACCTGGTACCCCTGCTCATCGACTGGCTACTCGTACCCCTTGTAGACTGGTACCTTGGGTACATAGCCAAGTTATTGTTACTCGGTGTGTATCTATTATTACTTCATGTTTAACTTTCCTATTATTTCTCCATTTTCTCTCTCTCTCTCTCTCTCTCTGCATTGTGGGTAAGGGCCCGTCAGTAAGCATTTCACTGTTAGTCGACACCTGTTGTTTACGAAGCATGTGACAAATACAATTGTATTTTATTTGTATCTTTCAAATCTTGGAATGTTCTCAAACCCATTACTGTCCATGATATCGGCAAGGGTACGGATTCCACATTTTGACCATTGGGGGGGGGGGGGGGGGGGGCGTGCAAAAGTCTGCCCTCCAGATCGCAAGACGGGCATGCCATTTTGATTCCCATGTGATGTTATTTACAGGTGTAAATCATTTACTGCCACTGTAGTAAAGCTGCCTGCCACAGTGATGGTCTGTGGGGTGAGATACACTAACCCCTAGGTCCCCTTAAAAACGGATTATCACCCTCCTCACCCCCCTCATCTTCACCCCCCTCATCTTCACCCCCCTCATCTTCCATCTATGCTTCCTGTCTCCTGTCTCCGCTTCCAGGCACAAGAACACACCAGACTGATAAAGGCCTAGAAGGATCATTCGTGAAGCGAGGCCGACTTCTAAATCCATCCGGCCCATAGGTGTAAGCTTATGTGTAGTGCCTGGCTTTTTAGAAGGGGATGCAAGAATTAGCCTTTATCCAAAATGTAGGCCTATAGCACAACAATGTATCCATGAAATCATTCAAATGCATAACTGCATACTGTGACCTATAGTAGGCCTAGCTTAGGCCTACAGGCAGACCTTCGGCAGGCGTCTGCACAGAAATTCCTTCGAACCACAGAAGTGGGATGATGGCAGGCTTTTAAGGTTTTATAGGAGGCGCAGGGCTGTCTGTAGTTAGCAAAGTAGAAGCAACACGTAGCATACTAGCCTCCACTAAAGAGAAGGCTGTGTGTTGAGTGGGGGAGGGGAATGATACAGAGACTCCTTCCCCTGCAGTGGGGAAAGGTCAACATGTGGTTCACCCTGTATCATTACTCACAATCCACTGACTCTAGTATACATTGAAGGAGGTGAAAAGATATTCAGCCACTGATTGTAAACACAATGGAAGTTAAGTTTGAGTCAAGATGGCTTTTTAAAATTAGCCTAATATCCTTATTCCACCTTGGTTGGTAAGCAAGGTGCGACAGCATTTATTTTTCTCTAGTCTAGATTCGAAGGGACTACGGAGTTGATATCTAAGCCCAAATAGCTACATTCTTTATATAAAAATGGGCCATTTCTCCTGTGTTACACCTTAAGGTGTAGCTTCATGAGCTGACCCTTTATCCCTCGACATCCGCTGGTGCAATAGTTTCTCCCAGTAGTAGACATGGGTAGGATTCAATGGAGACCGAATTAACTTTCATCAACATAAAACACAGGTGTGTGTCTGCGATGCTGCTGATGCATGGGATGTGTGGGCCAGTGCTCAATAGAAGGGCGTGACAGCAGGGCACAATTAACTTGCATTATTCGCCTTATTAGGCCAATCAATCTACGTCTAAGACTATTATGGCTTTATGCAGAGACAGACAGTATGGGGAGTTTTTTTTAGACAAAGGACTATCAGCAGCTATAGATGGGTTATCAACAATAAACAGGACCCATTCATATGTGAATGAGACACTCCTGTTCTCTAGTCAGTGTTGTCGAACCACTACGTGACTAAGACTCACTTGCTATTCATCTCAAGACTGATATTCAAAGTTGTTGAGTAGCTTCAAAGATTGCTAGAAAGGTACATTGAATGGGCACAAGGTCAACTCGCATTCCTTCCTTTCTTTCCCTGAGTTTGGGGAAATGCAAATGTATTGCAAATCAAACAAGTTAGAAAAAAGTTTAGATTTGAGACCTCTAAAAAGGCAATCAGCTGTTCGTGCGCGGTGGTTAGCTATTCGTCATATTCAATCCTGCTGGTTAGCAAGTCAACAATAATAAGGAATGATTGAAAGTACACTAGTAGCTAGTTCTTCTGAACAAAGTTAAACTACGGTTAACGTTACATATCAGTATCAGGTTAAAACGCAAAAGCTCGTTATAACAGCCTGCGAACTGCTAAATAAGAGCTAGTTAGGCATCCCACTAACACGTTATTTCCATCTGACACTGCCTGGTTGGCTAAGAGTTAGTGAATTATCAAACTTCTGACTTGCCAATTAAATGCCTAGCAGCTAAATTCGTGTGTAACGTTTGCTAACTAGCTAGTTAAACTCGCAGGACCACACATTACATAAATGGGCAGTTATTTTATTATCCAAAATATTGTTGTTAGCTAGCAAACTATCTACACTTATTTTAAACACGATGGAATTGTTTTTAAAATTAGCTAACTAAATGTTAGTAGCTAGCGCACAACCTCATCGGCTATCTAAAAATACACTGACATCGTCGATCAGCTGGTTAGCAGCGGCACCAGCTTGCTACCTAAATCACACCACAGCTGTGGGAGTGAGCAGGCTACTTCCAGCTGATTCCACCTTCTTCGGCTTGGATGGCTACGCTAGCTGCGTTACCATACAGTTTTATTACGTTTAAACGGCAAAATAACTTTGCCAAAGTCCGTTTGTTACAACACCGCTTCTAGCGATATCCAAACGTAGTTATCAAAGTAACAAGCCAAACTCAACTTTTGGACTAGAGTCTCTTAGCTAGCTATGGCTATGCTGTGTCAACTGATTGAGCTAGCTAAAGCTAACGTTATCGTTCGTCTGCTTACCTTGAGCGAGCTGCCATGGTGCGCCTCAAAAAACAAATTGCAAGTTGCTTGCCATGTGTTTCTGACAATCCGTAATTGGATAATCTCCCCTCTTGATTACATTGTTTACCTGTCAAATGCCATCTAAATCTTTACATAAAATAACTGTCTATAAATTGTTCTTTCATAGTTCTCTGCTAGTAACTGTGCGTGTAGATCTTGGTCTCAGCGCATACTGGGTTCTTCTATTTCTCAGTCATCCGGGGGACGCAGTGGAGTCTGATTCGATAGCTTTTGTATCTAAACAGAAAAGCAACGAGCAATAAACACGTAACGACTGTTCATATGTTCTACTTATATCCAACTAGTTTTTTTTTAGATGTATATTATAGAATGTGTTTTTTTCTGTCGCGTTTTTCAATTGTCAACTTTAAAAACAAAGTTTGCACAGTTCCCCCTGCACGTAGGAAATAGTACAGCCACACCATTCCTATTATGGACATGTTATTATTCTCTCTGAATCGCCACCTAAACTATTGCCAGGGATAGCATCAAAAGTTTGATTGTATATCTGAACTGAACATGTCATTAGACACCACAGGCTTCCGCTGGATACAGAATCATACTGAAAGAGTTCATCTTAATTTCCCCCAGTTAAGTTATAATTGCTGATATATTTTATGATTATGTGGATATTTAAAATAGGCCTTGCTATAAATGAATCTAAGTTATTGATAAATGTGAAGAATCTATCTGATAATGGCATCCCATAGATCCTGAACAACATTCCAATAGTAGGTCTCTATAAATTGTATTTTCCTAGGGACACTCCTTGAATTGAATAGAGTGATATGAAAAACAAGTGCAATGGAGCCTTAATGGGTAGGCCTATAGTTCATACTGTGTAGCAGGAGAGAACGAATGCCCCCTCTCATTGAAGCCACGGAAGTTCAAGGCCGACCGTGGTACTGCAGTATTGTTTGCAGAAAACAGGATCCCCCATTATAGACAGGTTGATTGTCTAGTGACAAAACAGAGCGTGCGCAACTATAGGGGCATTTTAGATTGTTTTTTACATTTACATTTGAGTCATTTAGCAGACGCTCTTATCCAGAGAGACTTACAGGAGCAATTAGTGTTAAGTGCCTTCCCCAAGGCACATGGACAGATTTTTCATGTAGTCGACTTCGAGAATTCGAACCAGAAACCTTTCAGTTACTGGCCCAACTTCTTAACCGCTAGGCTACCTGCCAACATGTAAGCTATATTTTGTCACTAATGTTTATTGAAAATATAAATACATTTGCACAATGAGCGCTTGTCTCTCAAATACATTGTTACAGTTGTTGGTTAGCTAGCTAGTGAATTTGAGCTATATTAGCTTTGAAATGAAATCTGTCAAAACACCTCAAAACAAGACATGGTATCAAGAACAAGATTAAACAAGCCACTTAAGATTCCCCACATGGCAGTTTCTTGTCATTCTTACTAACAATCTCGCCATCCAGAATCACAACAACACACTTCTTCCCCATGGACGAGCGCACATCGTTTTTCGTAATGTTGCCAGCTAACCCATCTATAGTGAATGGACAAATGGCAATCTTCGTGGTAAATCATTGTGTAAATACAAAAAAAATTCCAAGGCAATCATAGTACCAATAATTGCTTCTAATACACCAGATGTACAGTACCAGTCAAAAGTTTGGACACACCTACTCGTTCAAGGGTCTTTCTTATTTTTTACTATTTTCTACATTGTAGAATAATAGTGAAGATTTCAAAACTATGAAATAACACATATGGAATCATGTAGTAACCAAAAAAAGTGTTAAACAAATCAAAATATATTTTAGATTCTTCAAAGTAGCCACCCTTTGCCTTGATAACAGCTTTGCACACTCATTAGTAAAAATAAAGAAAAACCCTTGAATGAGTAGGTGTGTCCAAACTTTTGACTGGTACTGTACATCTGGTGTATTAGAAGCTGGTTGAGAGAATGCCAAGAGTGTGCAAAGCTGTCGTCAAGGCAACGGGTGGCTACTTTGAAGAATCTAAAATATAAAATATATTTTGATTTCTTTAACACTTTTTTGGTTACTACATGATTCCATATGTGTTATTTCATAGTGTTGATGTCTTCACTATTATTCTACAATGTAGAAAATAGTAAACATAAAGAAAAACCATTGAATGAGTAGGTTTGTCCAGACGTTTGACTGGTACTGTATGTCCTTGAACCGATTATTTTAAAATCACACACAGAAGAAGTTAAACTGATCATTTAGATGCTGTACCCCGGGCCGGCCTTCCACTTGAGTTACTCAATTTTTCATCCGCTGAGTTGACAAATAAAAACAACTGATCCGACTGTTGTACTTGACATTACAGCGTCCATTTGTCACTTGGCTCTAAACCTTGAAAGTAAGTATTTTAAAAACACATACTAGATTCGTATCAGTTATTCCACAATTACCAGTTCACCACAGCTGAGAAAGAGAGCCTCACCAAAAATGTATGTTCAAATGTAACCTATGAACTCACTGTATTGTATGTGTAACTACCACGGATACAGATTGATCTGTGATTGGGGACAGTAAATCCTCATTGCTCAGGTAAGAAAATCATTTGAAAGGCAACTATACTGTATGCTGTATTAGCCTGGCTCTTACCTAACCTGATGTGAATGAAGCACCGTGTTTAGATTCTACTGGATGTCTCTCTGGCTGACAACACGTGCACTGCTTTTTTTTTCATAGCTAGGGCTGTTGTGGTCATGTGATCAGGTCAGGCTTCTCTGTTGAAAGCTCTTAAGCCCTTTCTCTCCTCACCTCCACCATGGTGGAGACACAGAAAATCCCCAGGTCTTTGAGGCTGGAGCCAGTAGGCTACATAAGTGCATGGCGCTGTGGCATAGTGGCAGCCTGACCCACACAGAGACAGACATAGATAGACAGGATAGCCTACTACAGTCTGGTCTGTCTATCACCCTAACCAATCTGTTTACAGCTGGAGCCAGAGACAGAACACACATCCAAACCTGTCTGTTGGGAGAAGCTGTGACACTACTGTGTCACTGAGCGGACCAGCAGCCATTGAAATGAATCACTGGGCCATTAGCCAGCCAACTGCTCTTTAAAAAAAAAAAAGTTTTGTTAGATGCAACAGAATGTTGTGTAAGATTGTTTTATGGCAGTTATTTGAACTACACTGAACAAAAATATAAACACAACGTGTAAAGTGTTGGTCCCTTGTTTCATGAGCTGACATAAAATAACCCAGAAATTGTTCATGTGCACAAAAAGCTTATTTCTCTCAAATTTGGGGAATAAATTGGTTTACATCCCTGTTAGTGAGCATTTCTCCTTTGCCAAGATAATCCATGCACCTGACAGGTGTGGCATATCAAGAAGCTGATTAAAAAGCATGATAATTACACAGGTGCACCTTGTGCTGGGGACAATAAAAGGCCACTCTAAAATGTACAGTTTTGTCACACAACACAATGCCACAGATGTCTCAAGTTTTGAGGGAGCGTGCAATTGGCATGCTGACTGCAGAATGTCCACCAGAGCTGTTGCCAGAGAATTGAATGTTAATTTCTTTACCATAAGCCACCTCCAATGTCGTTTTAGAGAATTTGCCAGTATGTCCAACCGGCCTCACAACCACAGACCACGTTTAAGGCGTCGTGTGGGCGAGCGGTTTGCTGAAGTCAACGTTGTGAATAGAGAGCCCCATGGTGGCGTTGGGGTCATGGTATGGGCAGGGATAAGCTACGGACAATGAACACAATTGTGTTTTATCAATGGCAATTTGAATCCACAGAGATACCGTGACAAGATCCTGAGGCCCATTGTCATGCCATTCATACGCCGCCATCACCTCATGTTTCAGCATGATAATGCACAGCCCCATGTCGCAAGGATCTGTACACAATTCCTGAAAGCTGAAAATGTCCCAGTTCTTCATTGGCCTGCATACTCACCAGACATGTCACCCATTGAGCATGTTTGGGGTGCTTTGGATCGACGTGTATGACAGCGTGTTTCAGTTCCCGCCCATATCCAGCAACTTCGAACAGCCAATGAAGAGGAGCGGGACAACATTCCACAGGCCACAATCAACAGCCTGATCAACTCCATTTATTTTAATTTGTAAAAAAAAAATGTATTTCACCTTTATTTAACCAGGTAGGCCAGTTGTGAACAAGTTCTCATTTACAACTGCGACCTGGCCAAGATAAAGCAAAGCAGTGCGATAAAAACAACAACAACACAGAGTTACATGGAATAAACAAAAACGTACAGTCAATAACACAATGTTGTTTTTGGTGGACGGTTGTTGTGTTTGGTCCTGTGTTCTCCCTGGCGTCCTTTCCCCCTTGCGCCAGGTGTGGGATGCAGGCGCGCGCTCGGCCCCTATCCTCCGCAATCAGCCATGTGGAGTGCGTTTTTGTGTTTGGAAAAGTCTGGCGTTAAGTGAGTGAGAGGGGAAATGGTTGCATATCCCAGAACCAACGGGTGTCTATGAGCAGGGGTTGTGAGAAGGAGCTTTCAATTTTGTGTAGATGAGGGATATACATTTTTAAATACAGTATACATCTAATCTATTTTTTTATTGTCCTATCATGATGGAACGATCCCCAACCCTATATCCTGGACACCCACCTGAGCGACCCATACACCAAAGAGAAGTTCCCATCTGTTTTATGGACCTGCTGTGAATTGCCTATATGCAGCCTAAACAGAGAAATAAATGCGGTCAGAGACCTACTTGAGCAGCACCGCCCCCTCAAGATTCTGAGCCTGCCTGGCAGGGTTGGTCCTACAAAGCCAGAGCCCCCGATGGGGGAGCATAATATACAAGGAAATTCTCAAAGCTGCTAATGAGAACCTTGACGACCTTGTACCTAGCCGGTGGGGATTCCGGTGGGGTACCCCCACCCAGGTAGTGGCAGTGCTGGCAACACTGGCTGCAGTAACCCATGGGGAGGGGGTCACACTTGGACAATCAGAGAGGGGGCTTACTATTGTGG